CTTGTCGATCGTCCAATTCCAGGTCAACGCAGAATTTGTTAGCAAAAGTTGAAAGTTACGTATTGCTCAGTACGGCTCATCTTGCCCCCTGACGTCACCTGACCTTTAGCGCGATCGCTGCCACCGGCCGCAGGCCATAGCCGTCAAGGGTAAATAGCAGGCGCCTTGAGCGACTCAAACCCAACCCGCCATGGGTGGGCAGACCGGAAAACAGGCACCCTTCCTGAGCTACCAGACAATTAATTACACAAGGCGTTGGAAAATACCACATTTCAATACATATATATATATATATATATATATATATATATATATATATATATATATATATATATATATATATATATATATATATATGTATATATATATATAGAATATATATCTCTCTCTATATATCTCTCTATATATATCTCTCCTCTCTCTCTCTCTCTCTCTCTCTCTCTCTTCTCTTCTCTTCTTCTCTCTCTCTCTCTCTCTCTCTCTCTCTCTCTCTCTCTCTCTCTCTCTCTCTCTCTCTCTCTCTCTCTCCTCTCCTCTCTCTCTCTCCTCTCTCTCTCTCTCTCTCTCTCTCTCTCTCTCTCTCGCTCTCTCTCTCTCTCTCTCTCTCTCTCTCTCTCTCTCTCTCTCTCTCTCTCTCTCTCTCTCTCTCTCTCTCTCTCTCTCTCTCTCTCTCTCTCTCTCTCTCTCTCTCTCTCTCTCTCCTCTCTCTTCTCTCTCTCTCTCTCTTCTCTCTCTCTCTCTCTCTCTCTCCTCTTCTCTCTCTCTCTCTCTCTCTCTCTCTCTCTCTCTCTCTCTCTCTTCTCTCTCTCTCTCTCTCTCTCTCTCTCCTCTCTCTCTCTCTCTCTCTCTCTTCTCTCTCTCTCTCTCTCTCTCTCTCTCTCTCTCTCTCTCTCTCCTCTCTCTCTCTCTCTCTCTCTTCTTCTCTCTCTCTCTCTCTCTCTCTCTCTCTCTCTCTCTCTCTCTCTCTCTCTCTCTGCTTTACTACTTTCCAGATATCTACTTTCCAATGTATATATATATATATATATATATATATATATATATATATATATACATTGGAAAGTAGATATCTGGCAGCTACTATTCTTGCGAAATATGAAACGCGGCGCCCTGGACAGTGCCGATTGGGATACCGACCTTGGATCGCTCAAGGCTTTTCACAACGAAGGCTTTGTGGCGCCCCAGGAATTTGGTGTTAGTTGAAAATAGGGCTATTTGGTGCCGAAATGAATGTTTTAATATCCCTTCACCATGAGATGTTGGTGTCATGAAGGAGCGCTCCGGCCTCATTGGTGACCCCATCGGGTGGGGTGCTTTCCCTCTCTCTTTCTAGCCGTCTGCACAGCATTGCTCGATCACAAGCGGAAGAATGAAACAACCAAATTTTGACAGTCCAGGAGCATTTCATCACACCACTCAATGAAGCATTTTCCGTAGCCCCAGTGATCCGGTACCTCCGAGAGGAGCCCAACAGCGGCCCCAAAGCGACACCATTTGTGGGTGCGTGTTGCGTTCACTTTGACTGGGAGATGGTGTGAGCAAATGGTGGTTAGTTTGTCTACAGCAAATATGTCTTTGAACCAAAACTAGATGAAAAATTTTGCATGCAGTCTTCGGAAGCCATGGAATGCCTTTGAAGACTACCAAGACACTAACGCGCATTTGCAATCGTGTGCTCCTGCTCAGGAGATGAGCTCGTAAGGATGAGCTTAGACCGAAATATTAAGTACTGTCAATATCATCGTTATTAAGCTATACAGTGTCGTTTTACTAGTACCTGCATGTCTATTGAAGATAGATGACTCAGCGTAATAACTTTCAAGTCACAGTACCAAACACCAGGAGCTGAGTGCATTTTTCTTTTTATTATGGCCACAGCCGCAGCATCAATTGGACGAAATTCGTAAAGACACGCGCCTTGGAAGTAGACTGGGTATGGCTCATGGGCTCGGCCGTCCCTTAAAAACGCCAAATTCCACCCCCGTGTGCCTGTGTCTACATGAGCAAATGCGTGTGATATGCAACGTAGCTTGGAACATTGTGCCAACCTTAGCCACGACTTCGCCCTAACCGGCTGCGATGACGTTCCTACCACCCGACGGACGACAAGCTCGCTTACCGCTCCGATGACATGCGTGTCGGCAGGCAGTTGGCCGTACAAGGACCCAGATCTGCCCCGAATCGGCTCAGGGCATGAACCAGACATAGCTTTGTAGCATCGCGTTGATGTGATTCTTGGTGTCAGAGGACTGTCAGTCGCCAGACTTGATGCCGGCTGCTTTCATTTATCTCTCACGTTGACGTCGCGGTTGTGTGCGTCATAATTCCCTACTGCCTGGAAAATACAAATCCCTCTCTCATCTTCTGCCTCTCATCTTTAGCTTTCATCATTATTCCGAGCAGTGAGAGCCGCGGCTTTGCAATCTTCTGTTCCTCGTTTTGGGTGTTAGCAAGCGCCGGGCGGTCGGTTGAATACCCTTCGCTCCGGCGGGTGGGGGGGGGGGGGGGGGGGAGGAGGGAAGGAGAGGAAGGCAATTTAACCCCTGAGATCTCAGACACAAAATTCACAGGGTGGGTTGGCCTGTATGTGAACTCACTTATGTCACCATTTGAGGTTCCTAGGGTAATAACCTTGAGATGGGACAAGGTCAAACAAGGACAAACTACAGAATGGTGTCCCAAAGTGACCCCAAAGCTCCTCACGCAATTGCCGTGAACATAGATACCTGTTCTAAGCAAAATATAAATGACGCTTATTCAAGGTCAGTGACCTTATTGACCTTTGAAAGGTCAAGATAACCCGAAACTACGATACTGTTTTCATTTCTTCATTTAAGTAAGGGTCAGGGTTAACTGACAATAAAATGTTGGCTTGGGCGATGTGAGGTTAGTACTTTAATCTGCTCTTGAAAAGTTCATGGAACATGCATGTAACGGTCCCTGTCATTAATAAACTAGAAATGAGCACCAAACACTACTCATCAAAGCAAACTCTCGAGTAAAAAAGAAGGTTAGTTTTGACCTCGGTCTGGTTCTCATGCCTGACCCTAAGCCAATGGAGAGTGTTGTGATCCTAAATTCAAATGGCGTATCGCCTAAGAAATTATCTCAGAGATGTATGGCCTTGTCTAACACTCCGTTGTCACATCAGCTTGAACAATCCCCTAGAAATGGCCTTCGCTGACAGCCTATGCTTGACTTCGCCCTACCATAGGTAAGCGACCTAATAATAGTATCTAGTAGTACATAATAGTAATATAGTATATATATATATATATATATATATATATATGTATATATATATACATATAATAAATAAATAAAAAACTTAGTAATCAAAAGCATTTACCCTTATACGACAAGATCAGCCATTCAATCGCCTACAGTTTTGCTCAATTTGGCGCATCTACGCCAAGCCGTTCGAAAATTATTCTGGAAATCCTTCGGGGGTCAGATTGACCCCACCCGAGCGTGTATCAATGGAAATAGTAGATGTCAACATTGCAGTACACTAGGGGTCATTCCAGAAGAACTGGCTCTCTGGTCATAGGTCAGTCTATTATCTCATAACAAAAATCATGTCATGGGAAAAACTTCCCTGCATTAGTAGTCAACCCTTTTTACGGTACGCCACGAATAAATGCAGAACATGTTTGGACCGACCGCTGTAACGGTGCGTCATACCGTTTCAGGAACCGAATTTATGGATCCATACATTTATGACTCCCAATGGGTCAGGATAGATCCGGGCCCACTGGTGTATCTTCTTTTGCAGTCCACTCCGTGGACACTCCTGATCGATAGTGATGAAGGTACTGCATGTGGGCAGCAGCTTATTAGCCAACTTCGACGGACATTTGCTTGTTTTTATTGGCAATGACACGTGCGGAACATGTTCTGGGCTTTTGCGTCCGACCAATCATCAAGGTAGGCAAGGTGCCTAAGCAACCACCACCAGAGAGGACACGGTGCGGTTAGCTGGTGCCACATTTGAGTCAAGGTCATGTTCAATTAGTGTTATAGTGGGGGCCCTTGTTCCGGCAAACTCCTTTGTGCCTTAAAGCGCATGAATTTTCATCCGTTCTCCTCTCTCGACAGCAAAATTCGGACCCAGTGCGAAAAATGTTCTGTGTTCCAATAACAGTCCACACACGTCAGGCTTAAGCAGGGATGCATCACAAACCTTTTTTCTTCTCCATAACAAACGCTATCAAAGTCCCAACAAGAACATTCCAGTATTGTGACGCGCTAGAAGGTCCTTTATTCGAGAAAGTCGTCTTGTTCCAGTTCGCTATATCATATCAAAACAGAAATCATATTGTCAAGAAAATTGCCATGCCTTGGCACTGCTGAAATGTTTAGGGTGCACCAATAGGGCATACTAACAGCTAATGCCTCGGCGATGCATCGCTTTGCTCAGCCGCGGCAGCCTTGAAGACCTCGCCATTCCAGGTACCGAATAAGGCTTTTTTGGGGCACTTCCCAGCGCTGGCATGCCGCAGCTCTAAACGTCACGAGACAGCCGCTTATGAAACCAAATGCGACACAGATATCTCTATCCACAGCAGCGACCCTCACTAAAAAATCATGCCCAGCCGCATGCTTCTTTTTTATGTTTCGACAGTCGGGCATAAGACTCCGGCTCCTTTCCGGTTTTTCCGGCAAAAGCAAGTCATTTCCAGTATCCAGCACAGACGTCAGGTGCGTGTCGCCACATATGCAGTCGCGCTATTCGCCAACAAATGGCGCGGCTGCACTGTCCCGTGGCTGTCAACGGACCGGCCGAGCGCTCGCCCGTCTCCCCGTCGTCTCGTGTTTCAGCTCTCCCCGACATACGCGCAATGATCCGGCTCATTGGGATGCGGAACCAGTTTGGCGAACTGCGGCCAACGAGGAGGGCAGGGCGCCCCCGCGGCTTTGGTTGGGTTTTCCGTCCTATTGAGCCCAGGGCCAGGTCAGGCGCCGTATAAGAGAGGCTGGGCGACGGTGCGACCGGAGCAGACTCGAGTGGACGCCTCAACAGCCAGCCGACCGGTTTGGACCTCCACTGCAGGTGAGACGCTGCCAGTAGGGCTTCGGTGATCGGAGACCGAGGCGGAGCGACCGAGGGGCGGCCCCGGGCTCGTTGAGACTGCACCTGCAAGCGCTCTGGGGCGTTTGGGCTAGGTCCGCGATCACCAGGCGCACGGCGGAGTCTTGGTAAGAGTATGGGGGCACCGGTCTTGACAAGGCGTCTACTGCTGGTGAAAAGTCCTCCCAAATCATCGAATTTGTTTGCATTCCCTTGAACGGTATGAACATCTTATGCTGCAGTTTTGGTGCTTCTGTGTTTAAAGCGGAAGCGCGAAGCTGCCAGACCATGCAGCTCTGCTGCTTTAAAAGTCAGTTAATAAATGATTTCGTGTATTAACATACGGGATCGAAGAGAGCTCCGGTGCTGTTAAATGAGCTGCGATGCCCACAGCCGTTTTGCCCACATGCCCACATTTTGCCCACATTTTCCAACATAGTGCTAGGCGCCGTCGCCGTCGTGTGTGTGATTTCCGTTGGTTAGTAGATTTTTGACTCGTATCATATTTTTGTATCACGTTCTGAAGACAGCTCGAGTACAAGCATATTTTGCACTTCTTCATAGCAGTCAATACAGAAACCCTGCAGTAGAAATTAGCCGTCAGCTGATTACATCGACCAACCGGCTAGATGTAAATGAGCCAGGAATCAAGTTCGTGCTTGATTTGGATGGCATTTACCAGGCAACTTTCGGCCACTTTGCCGTGCTTTCCTCGGATTCTCAGCCACAAAATTACAGGATCCACCATGATCTAGAGAAAACGAACAAGCTCCATGCATTTGCATCCTTGGTACGCCTAGCTGTCAAGGGCTGTGAACAGGAAGATGGATTCGCATGTACAAGTAACAGATACCACACTCTCAAATTAAATGTCCGAAATGCGAGAATTGTTGGGGAAGGGGCCCTACAATGTAGCGTGCTCCCTTGACGAAATCATGGACCCGTCGCTGTGTGTGGGGGGGGGGGGGGGGGCATACCCCTGTGCCACGACCCTCCCTCTGTGCCACTACCCTGTGCCACCTCCCCCCCCCCCTCTCCTGCGCTTCTGGTGATCACTATGACTTGGACGCGTGGCGATTGCTGATCGTTGTGTCGGTGAGTCTTTGTCAGTGTGGTTTCACTCACAAAGCTGTTTTCAAAAAATGTCGCTACACTTCGCATTTGCCATTGGCAGAAGTACTTAAGGATGGCTGACAGAATTGTCAGCCAGCAATTGCTTCCCCCGTCTCTAGAGGTGAACCCAAACGGTGAGCTCCCCTCCCCTTCTTTCCCCAATGTTTCCCCCTCCTTCCCCTTTTCCCTCTTCCCCGCAGATGGCGGGGTCCGCTTTGGCCCAAGGCTACAGTATCTACAGTATCTACAGTAAGGCTACAGTAAGGCTACAGTATCCACTCCTTGGTGGCTTAAAAGACCCCAATGGCTTCGAATACATAAAACGTCCCTTACGCACCAACTGTCCCTTGCGCACCAAAATAGGACCACGAGTCAAAAGGTGTCCTCCGAGTAAAAAGGCCCCCACAATCACGACGTGGAGCCCCGGCGGACAGGACTCCTGTTGACCCGACTCGCCCCTGCTGCGTCTGAAGGTACAACAGCCGTGAGGACGCTGCTCCCTCTCTGAGGCCTCTCACCAGACTGGAACGGCGATTTGCCGCCCTCCCGGACCGATCCGATACCGCCGATTCGATTTCATCCATCTGATTCGCCGACCGGTTTACGTCAATTAATGTCACGATCAGGATGACGGTGTCCCGCGTCGGAGCCGGCTGGTACTGTGACGTCATCACGTGGCTTTGCGAGGACAGTGATGACGTCATGGCTGCTAGCCGATCGGAGAATGGGCCTCTGCGCGGTGGGGCCGGCCGCTACTGGCGGCTATCGTGCTGGCACTGTTCACCAATATGAAAGACATGTTCCCTTTAAGACATATCTCTCGCTCCCGTCTTCTCTTTCTTTCTTTCTCTCTCTCTCTCTCTCTCTCTCTCTCTCTCTCTCTCTCTCTCTCTCTCTCTCTCTCTCTCTCTCTCTCTCTCTCTCTCTCTCTCTCTCTCTCTCTCTCTCTCTCTCTCTCTCTCTCTCTCTCTCTCTCTCTCTCTCTCTCTCTCTTTCTCTCTCTCTCTCTCTCTCTCCTCTCTCTCTCTCTCTCTCTCTCTCTCTCTCCCTCTCTCTCTCTCTCTTTCCCTGTTTCTCTCCTTGCTCTCTCCCCCATTATACCCCGTGGTTAACGCCTGATCTAATTGCTCCTGGCCTCTGTCCACCGCAGGGATGAAAGTCGTCTTGATGTTGTGCTGCACCCTGGCGGTGGCCTCAGCGGGTCCCTTCTGGCGGCCCGGAAGCGCTGTCGGCAACGCGGCCGGTCAGGTCACTCATGGTGTCAACTCCAACTATGGAGGCTCCTCCTCCGTCTCCCATGTGACCGCCCAGGCCCACGTAAGTAGATCGCATCCAGTGGAGGATGGTAGGGGGAGGCACGGTAGATGAGGCTGTAGGTTGTTTGCCCCCTCCATTCACGTTAGGTGTAACGGGAAGCTGGGTGGGGAGCTTAGCGCGCGGACCAGAACAGGAGACGAGGCCTGTGGTGGACGCGCTATCGATTGTGGTCAAAGGCTTCCGTCCACAGACAATGCATGCGCTCGCTCGGGAATGTTGTGTGTCAAGTCCGAAATGTCAGCGTGTAAGGAAACCAGAAAGCCAGCACGAGTCATCAGCTGGTCCTCAGATATTAAAAACGACGAAACGCGACCGTGATCACGACGCACGACGCATGGCGAGCGGCTTCTTCAGACTGGGTTCGCAGCGTTCTCGAAGCTAAGCGCATGTGAACACAGTAAATCATCTGGAAGGTTGGGTATCAGTCGCTTTGCTGCCAGGAGCACGGTCCAGTTTAGGAGGTGACCGGCGAGACGATGTGCTTGAGCGCCATGATTTCATCCGTTGACAACGCGTCTGTTCTTGCTGCAGGGGGCAGTGCGTGGCCCTGGCACCAGCCACAACGCGGCAAATGCTTTTCTCAACACCGCAAACAACATCTACGGCTCATCTCATAATTCGGGGGCGAACGCGGTGTCCATCCAACAGGCGGGCCTTGGACGGAGACCGTTCCGCCGTCCGTGTTACTACTGCCACTAGGGCTCCTCTGAGACTCCTAGAGCGTGATGTCGGACACGCCGCGTCCGTTCACGTGTCAACAACGCCGTGTCGGTGCCGGGGTCACCGGGTCATGGGTGACCGCGAAGGTCACGGGTCACACGGGCTGACGTGCGGGGCGTCCAGAGTCGCGGCGGTGAAGTGCCGCCTGGCAGCACCGCATCTGGCCCCAGGTGGGTGGGGGCTGACGGCGCTGGGCGCGAGGAACGCACGCTGACACACCTTGTGATGAGCTCTGTGTGAAAAAATTAATACAAGCCAGTGAAACGAATTTTCGCGTTTAACCATCAGTGCAGGGATTCCACGAGCATGTCGGGCCACATTCTATGAATTACGCCACAAGTTCCTGTTCGGTGATGATCTGGTCCAACGAGTTACATTCACCAGTCATGTTGTGAAAGCATCAGCAAAAAATGATTAAAGCAGGTATGGTGTCGATAATATCTGAACATGAAAGGCACGCAACTTGCCGGCACCCATTCATGTTTTAGATTGCTCCCACCAGGGGTATCACACTAAAATCGGTTGGGGGGGGGCTGAGCCAATGAGGTTGATCTAACCTGCTTCCAAATCCCGATTTCTCCCCGGATTTCGGCCGCTTTGACTTGCGCCCCTCATAACAAATTGGAGATTTAAAGAAAAACGTTTGGTCGTTCAAAAAATATTTACATATTTTTGGATTCCCCATTTGAGACTGATGTGCTAGTGATAATGATGGTATCTGATCATGATATTGATAGTGCTTAAGCGCTTAGATGTCTATAGTATACCAGCAGTCCGGACGCTTACTGGACTGCATTGGCTTAGCGCTCCCGTTCGCTCATATGTATTGAGGGGGTGGGGGGGCTCTATTGCGGGGCCCAAGACAGCATTGGTGGGGAGGGAAGCGCTGAGGCCCTCCGAAAGTAAACAAAGTGACACCCCCTGGTTTCCACCATAGCGTTATATCTGTCATGGTAAATGCACAGTGTACAACACTAACACGTTAACTTATCACAAAGAGCCGGTGGTACCCGCCACAGGCTCACAAAAATCGTGCATAAAAGCCCTTTGGTCTCAGGCTACGAAATGTACACACCGCGTCTCCTCTGCGACCCAGTCCAGTCCCTGAGCACTACCCTATTCTCCCCCAGCCGCGGCCTGCCTCCAACGTGCCTCAGCCATTGCACCCAGTCAAGGGCGCTGCGCTACGGCACAGTTTCTGTGACTGACACTTCATAGAGCTACGGCATAAAGCGCAATGACACGTCACGCATGGCATGTCGCATGTTCTGGATCAGACTGCTGATCAGACTGGATCAGAGTGAATGCCCTGGATCAGACTGCTTTGCATCAGTCTGGACTACCTGTTCTGGATCAGACTGCTGATCAGACTGGATCAGAGTGAATGGTCTGGATCGGACTGTTTTGCATCAGTCTGGACTACCTGTTCTGGATCAGACTGCTGGTCAGATTGGACAGAGTGAATGCTCTGGATCAGACTGTTTTGCATCAGTCTGGACTACCTGTTCTGGATCAGACTGCTTCACGAGTCGGCCGAGATTGGTGCTCCCCACAATAGATGTCGCGCCTAGCGGTGTAAGCTCAGTTTCTTTACGCACTCACTGCATTTGACAGTCTTGTGAGATAAGTGATGCTGGCGGCTTGGCTGTTTCAGCCATATCGCCATCGAGATAGAGGGTTCACTGGTGAGAAAAGGCAACGGGTTTGGCAAACGCGACGCAATTAAATGACTGAACGCATTCAGCTAGAATGCCGTGGTTCAAGACACGTGGTCGGACTGATGACTTGACAACGTCTGGTCGCGGTCTGGGAGCGTATCACGTGACCATCAGCTAGTTCACCGGAGCACATGACGACCACCAGCTAGTCCGCAAGTCCGTGAGGCTCATAGATATAAGTGTGCTGAGCTGGGTGAAGAAAAAAAACACACACACACGCACGGCAGCTATTTGTTGGAGTTTGGTTCATGTTCCATCGGACCACCATAAATATCAGCGCATCCGCGTGACGTCATTTACGAACTTTGTCCTCCACCGCTACGCACCGAGGGTTGATTATCATTTATCCTCACTACCGGCAATGGTCGCTCGGCGCCCGCTGCTCGTGCTCAGCTTGACGCAGCGTCAGCTCCACGCCGTGTCCGAATCGCTACGGTCCCACCCGGCGCCCGCAACGCATCTTGCGGCGTGTCTTGACCACGCACAAAAGGCGCGACTCATGAAGCGCAAAGGACCCCGCGAGTCGGAACAGCACTCGGGAAGCGTCACAGTGGTACGGTGCCTCCCTGAAGGAGGCCTTGGAGACGCACGGGACGGCCTCCTCCGGCGAGCGGGGCCGCGCAGGCCCGCCGGGAAGCTGCCGGAGCTGCAGCTTCCCGGCATCGGTCGTCGGCGCGCGTGGTATGAGCCATCGACAGGAAGAGTCCGTCGGGGGCCACTTGATGCCGCAGCGTTGTTTCTTAAGGTGAGGTGTCGCGCACGGTCGTGGCTTTCGTGGTCCTTTCTTCTCACAAACGGCGTGGAACGCGGGAAACACGGGAAACGGGGGCTGCGAAACGTGCGGAAGCCCTGGTAGAGGCCAGTTTTCTTCGGAAAAAGGCGTTCCACACATCACAGGGACGACCCTGCTTGCGGTGGGCCTGGGAGAGTTGGGTGACGTCACGCACTTTTCCAGTCTGCTGGAGGACAACTGGACCTGTGCAGGCCAGGACTGACCAGTGCGCGGACCAGTGGCACAGGGTGCGGCTCAGTACCATACAATTGAGCAATTGACCATCGGTCCCGAAGGACCCTTCGGGTTCCTCCGAAGAACCTCAAACAATGCCCAGGCCGGCTCTAGATTTCTTGCGAATACAGGACGTTTATTCGACACCGTGGTCCTCGGACTGACACAGGGGAACCTCACTGACTCAGGGACCCTGACCAATGAAAATCGCGGGCCCGGGCTTTAAGCCTGCTGCGAAATGAGCCCTCAGTCCCAGACCTGAAGCTGGAGTCATCTGCTGACGAATCCTTCGGGCCCGGGCTTTCAGCCTGCTGCGAAATGAGCCCTCAGTCCCAGACCTGAAGCTGGAGTAATCTGCCGGCGAATCCTTCACGAATCATGGTCGCTAAGCCCCAGCCGCCGGGGAACAGGTTACTCCCGGATTTGACACACTTTCCTCTCGACGTTATGTAGTTGGATTCCCCCCCCCCCCCCCCCCCCAACTGTTCGCGTCTCCAGGCTGGTTAGGTTAATTATGCCTTTATCTGACAATTTCACTAGTTTAGTCGCAACCATCATTTAGGGTTGGGTGGCCAGCAAATGATACTTGAGTTCAAATGAACTCCCGAAACGACAATGTTTCATGGTTATGCCGCATTGCAATCCACTTGTGTTTGTTTTTGTGCTGCATAGCATTTATAGTTACATTGCAACGGTTTCTGAAGATTTTGGCTCCAGGTGACAATTAAGTCGGTTCCAAATTTCGTCAGTGACAGAAAAAAACACTTTTTCACCTCTGGCCCAATTGGACATTGGCCAATGTTCCACCCAAAACACCACAGATCGAACCCGTGATCGAACCGCTGCCAACTCGGAGGAGATGGAGCGACCAAAAGATTCACTCTCAGCATCTCGATGGTGACGTCACCCGAGCCGCCAGCGCGGGATGACGTCACCATCGGCTGCAGAGTTGCCGACATCTCCAGGAGATCGACGTTGGGAGATCGGCCTACGGGAGAATCGGTTTGGTTTGTTGGTCCATTGCGGATCCAGGTCGGGTGAGGTGGTCGTTTCTCAGGTTTCCTGCACGAGATTAGGTATTTTCGAATGTCATTTCGTACTGTCGCCCTGGATTTCTTTGAGATGTTTGCAAGTGCTCAAGCCGACGAGGTTCATGACGGTATTGACGACATTCCGGACAAGCACTCTCTTTACGGCAATACGGTAGCGCGCTACTCTCTTTGATCGCCTTAACATGGGTACGATCTCCATGCAGTCTGCACCTCTTTATCTTGTGGTCACGGTAGGGTGGGTGCCGTAGCTTTGCCCACACAGTAGCATGTGTGGATTTATGATCAGCTTGCCGACGGATTGCCAGACGCTCAACTTCTCGGTCGTGGATTCCGCTTCGCATACTGGAATCCAGTTTGTCCGGAGACGTTCAAAGCACATGGTTTGGTGGAGGCAAGAAAGGCTCCGTCACGAATCATTGGAACAATTCACACTGTTGGAACGTGTCGAGAACGTGTAACTGTTACGGTCGCTGGGACGAGGTCATGATCGCCTACGCTGCAAGCAACCAGTTCTACATGGGATACGAGTCCCGGTTCGTTGCAAATGATGTGGTCTGTATGCGAGAGACTAGATCCGGGGCGAGTCGGTCGAGTGCTAAGTTGTGTGAGTGCAAGCTGATTCAGTGACAGATCATTGTGCAGTTGCAGGCAACGTGCCACTCGTGTTTAATGGGACGTAGAACATCCAGGTTCATATCGCTTAAGACAAAGATTGCCTTGCCTAGTGTTAAGGTGCACCAAGAGGGCTTCGGAGACCATCGATGGCGAGTGCGGTACGCCGTGGGGGTGGGATGGGAGTGGGGTGGGGTGGGGGTGGGATGGAGGTGGGGGTAAACGACGCCGACGATGAGTGGCCTCCAGGTGATCAGTTGGAGCCAGAGTGACTGGGGCCAGCGCTGAGTCGGCAGGGGGGGGGGGGGGGGGGGCGTGCCGTATCTCCACGGTCAGCGTGTCGCGGTTGATGACGACGACGCCTACACCAGACCTTCCAAACGGCCGATCCCTCCGCCTGATAACGTATCCCGACAGCACTAAGAGTATATGGTTGCTATCGTTTCGGTGGGCCATGTTGCCGCGACGCACAGAATGTCACCTGTCACCTGTCACCTGTCACCTGTTCCGTCAGCAGCAGGTGGCTAGCTTCATCGAGGTGGCGGAAGAGCGATCGCACGTTGATACGGGCGATCCTCAGGTGAGTGGCGGGTGCAGGGTCGTCTCGCGTTTCTGCTCGCTGGGTCTGACGGATCGCCAGGTGTGGTGATTGTAGCAGGCGACGAACTCTGCCTCCAGTCAACGTCGTTTGGAGCATCGGGGCAAGCGTGTGTCCGGACTCACAGCGTTGCGTGACATTCGGTGCGTTCTTTATGGTTACACGCACCCGAATCGGCCGACGTGGTCTCCATCTGGCTCGAACACCTTGACGTCGGCGCAATTTTCTGGCATTAAAGCGGCATGGTTTTAGGCTTGATCTGACACTCATACATGAACCATG